ATTATTAAACCAAATATAAATTACTTCGTTATTGTACATAACTTAAATTATAAAAAAATTGAATTAAAAAATTACACAAAAAATGAGGAATTTCAAATAGTTAATTTGATACTAATATCGATATATTTTTGTCAAATTTTTATGATATCTTCAAAAAATATATTTTATTCAAAAATAAAAACATCATCGCTTTCTCAAAATCACATAAAGTCATATTATAATATCGACTGAGATAAAGAATAAAATGAAATATTAAAACCACGATGTATCTCGCTGTATTGCGCGAGTACGCTTCTAGTAAATAAATAAATTATCCGTCGGAAACTTAATTGAAATAAATTTTTATTCTCTAAAAAAAAGTCACTGGTAGATTTGTGGCGGAAGTCAACAAAAGTTGATTTTTTTAGGATCCATCGGAAATTTTGCACAAGAAAATCCATCAGACAAATCTGTAGGTGAAACTGGGGTTTTTAGTAGTGTCAAGACATTAATCTATCATACGAAATACAAAATTAAAACCATTGATTATATGTGATGAACTTTAAGGACCATAAATATGTTTGTTCCTAATATTTTATAGGTTTTATGCACAATATATAAAAAGGGTCCTCGATATGTATGAGAAGTATCTAATATTGTTTATTTCATAAAAAATAACATTGAATTGAAAAAATCTAATAATTCATAAAAATTCGTTTTTCTGAGTGTTCATATATGCAGAATCAATCAATAAATTAATATTATCTATGATATCATTTTTACATAGTATCGTCGATCGTTCTTCCTTAAAAAAACATCCTATAATATATCTTCAATATATAGATTGACATATTTGGGGTCATAATGTTGACTATTCAGAGTAAAACTCCATGTAAATCAATATGAATCAGTTGATTTTCATCTCAGCTCATGTTAATTCATCATCGTTTTAAACTTTTAGGGTTAAAACAAACATTTTCAGTACCATCAATATTAGAATAAAAAACCTATGTTGGTTATAACTTGAGATTTTATTATTACCGAGATAAAATAGTACTTAATATTCATACACTCAATATTAGGTAATAACGAGTCAACAAATAATTCATGTAGATAGAATAATCAAAATAGTATGAGATGAATGATAAAAGAATATATCAAGGTTTTTGGGCAAGTAGTTTTAGACTTTAATATTAGATAAAAAAAAAATTAGACAAACAATAAGTAATACTATAAAATACAGAATCAATTAATTATATACATATTTTCTTCTTCAATATAATTAATCTAATACATCTATAGCCTCTAATTACAATACTAAATTATTTTTGAGTTATATTAAATATTAATTTTTTTGAACTATTATTATACACTAAACAAATTAAATCCTATTTTTTGTAGGATCAAGTTTATAAATTTATAAGATGGGTAATGACAAGTTATCAAGCAAAAAAAAAGGTTTGAGTTTATAATATTAGATTCGTTGGACAAAAAAAACAAGTTAGATCCAACCGAAGCTCAGTCTAGACCTGTAAATGATCACCTCTAATCTTGATGTACATCCGACCTGCTCTCTGACCCTGACCAAAAACAAAAATATACCGAAATAGACGGCCTAGCGAATAATTTATTCTTTAAATTATATTATATTTTCCTAAAACAAAATTTTAAATGTAGTGTGAAAACGAGTTAAAAAAGGGTAGGTCCCACCCCTGGTTTTGGGTCAGTTTCTTTGATTTTCGGTGGCAATTTGATGCCTCTTGTTCCCCCGGCCCTTTATTTCTATTTTTATAATATGATTTCATTTTATTTTCAAAAATAATAACAATATAA